ATATGCTAATTTTTTGGGACAGGCATTTTGGGTTTTCATGAGCTGTATGCCATAATCATCAGTATTAAAACAATTAAAGACCTGAAATATTTCAGTTGGTGTGCAATGAATCTGAAAAATATGAAAGTTTCATTTTTATCATTACATTATGGAAAATAATGACCTTTATCACAATATGCTAATTTTTAGAAGGACCTGTATATATATATATAGTATTTGTAATGGATCTTGGGGGTATAAAAAAGAAAAAAAATACCTAATTTAAAAATAAAGATTAACATAAACACAAAATAAATATATTTCTTAATATTAAAATATACTGATAAATGTTAAACGTTTTACATTTATGAAGTCTATGTAAATATTACATGTAATCTATTACAAAATGATATATATTAAATAAACAAAAAGACACTATAATGAAGAATATACAAATACAATATATAAATAATGTACTACATACACTGATAAACTGCACCTAAATATTTGATGGAGCATATATTGCTTCTGTTTGCTGGATATATTTTGTTTTAATCATAAAATATTGTTGCATCATTTCAACAAACAGCAGCTTTTTCTTCACATTGAGCATCCTTGTTCTTATGTAGGGAGACTTGTAACAGAAGCCCTTCAGACTCCTTCAGCGTGCCTGCAAACTTCACCAAATGCTTCATTTTGCTGTTGCATTTTATGAGTTTCACTTTGCAGCCTGGTCAAAAACTATTTATTTCTGCAAACAAAATGCATAATATTTGCACTAACCTGAAACTTGTTCGCACACAGACATGCGCCTCACAGAGATGACACGGCGATCAACTGTATGATCACCCATGAGTTTACAAGGACACTTCCTGTCCCAGAGGAGTTTGTAACATTTACTGAAAGCTGAAAGCATTTGTTACTCTGTCCAAACAATGCATGAGATCACACACACACACACACACACACACACACACACACACACACACACACACACACACACACACACACACACACACACACACACACACACACACAGGCCTGTCACGATAACAAATTTTGCTGGGCGATTAATTGTCTCAGTAATTATAACAATAAACAATAATATTGTTTGAAATTTAACAATAATTGTCAAATTTTAGAAGAAATGTTGATTTGTTTGCAGTGTAGTACCTTTTTTGACCACCTGATGCAGTATAAGACGGTTTGAACCAAAGGATGGGAAACAACAAAGTCCATGCTCAATAATCCAGGTATACAATCCAACATTTTTCAGTCAGGTCATCTGGACAGTTTCTTTATTTTGTGCTGAAACATTTCACCTTCAGTCCGGAAAGCTTCATCAGTCGAGGAAACACACAACAAAACTGATTCTTCCCCCAACAGCTTACTCCAAAGTGGAACAAACCAGTTCTGCTTGTGATAAGATGGTGTCTTTGATACACCCCCTCCTCCATTGCCAGCCTTCTTCCTTGTTGACAGTCTTGTCAAACTGGTTGAAAACAACAAAGTCCATGCTCAATAATCCAGGTTCCAATCCAAAGGATGGATAGTTGAGCAGTGTCTCTAAGAAAAATGGGAGGGAGGGCCCTTGACGTGACATGGTGACATGGTGACATGGTGACATGGTGACATGGTGACAGGTGACATGGTGACACGTGACACGGCGGACGCTTGGGAGGTTTGAGCTCTTTAGCATAGCATTTGTCACACAAAGCTTTTAATAAAAAAATCAGTAAACAAGTTCTCAGCTTCTTTTTGCAGAGAAAAACAACTTTTTACACGAAGGGCCGGGTTTCAACCGTGAATTTTGGAGCTTCGCCAAGACGGAGGTTTATTCCCGAGGTTGTTTTATTAGTTTCGCTCGTAGCTTAGCTTCTCAGATTAACTGCTTTTAACGATCCAAAAACGCAATTTTGGATGGTTAAAACAGATTTTAAAGAGAAAAGAGAAAGGCAGGGGTCAGTGAAGTGCACTGGAATTGAGCCTTGTCATCCAGTGTCTTCAGTAGAAAGAGAGAGACATGAAGAAACGATAAAGCTGATAAAAGAAAATGAGGTTGATAATTTTCATTTATCATGCGATGACCGAGATGGTGTAGGTGCAGGGCAGCCGACTCGGGACCCAAAATGTCCTGGGCTCGATCCCCAGTCATTGCACATCTCGTGGTGTCTCTGAGCAAGACACCTAATCCCGAATTGTTCCCCGGGCGCTAACATAGCTGCCTACTGCTCCACCTGGGTGTATCCCAGGTGTGATGGGTTAAATGCAGAGAACTAATTGTGTCTTTGTATGGGAACATACAATGATGACAACACATAGCACTTTATTATTATTATTTAAATGATTTATTATTTATAGCGACAGGCACACACACACACACACGCACACACACACACACACACACACACACACACACACACACACACACAC